ATGCATTACCGATCCTTCTAACAGAAAAGGTTTAGTTGTAGTAGTGTCAGATCGAACTCAAAGACGACCTAATTGTCAGGTACATTTCAGACGTGACAGCTACAATTCTATTTAACCAGAACTAAGGTACCTTACTATGATGGACTAAAATCTTCCATGAGTGAATTAGTCCAGGCGTGCTGTGACAATCAAGTAATCGCAGGACAAGTATGCCGAAAGTAAATTTGCTGGTTTTGTAGTATGATAAGAGCATCTACATCCGTATATATCAAATATGGTCCCTCAAACGTCCGTGGCCAGGTAGTGACCGGGCATGCCCCAAATTTTACTTATTGCATCCGGACATCTCATACTAGATTCTTAAATCCATATAAAGACATGCAAACAAAATAACCCACGTACTACGTCGATCATCAAGTTACTCGTTGGATATGTCGACAATCTCCGTGCCCGACTCCGTAGGATTGGCGGCAGCTGCAGCTCTGGCTCGTCCGGCGCCTTCGGCTACTCCGCTCCGGCCTCCTCTGCCTATATCTTCGCGTCGAGTTCGGCGAAGGGCGCGTCGGACTCCGCCTGCTCCCGCCGGAGGAACGCCCAGTTGACCTCCAATAGGCCTCATCCTGGATGGACTCCAGCATGGCCTGCTGCTCCGCCATCTTGTCGGACCGGGCGACGGTGAACTCTGCCTCTGCCTGCTCCATGTTGAAGCCCGACAACTATTGCTCCGGCTCCTCCGACTCCTCCACCTCCATGGGCGCTAGCTCATCCTCATCCTCTTCCCCCCGATCGCTCCTCCTCCTCCTCCCCCTCCTCCGGCTCCGGCGAGTCCGGAGGCAGCCCGGCAGCGATGCGGGATGCGCGGGCGTCTTGTCTCGCCCGGATCTCCTGCTGCATCTCGGCGCAGCACTCCGGCGTGAGCATTGTGTAGTAGGTGATCTTACTCCGGACCATGGAGGAGCACCAGAGCATGGGCAGAGCACCAGAGCGGGAGAGGGAGGAGGTGGAGATGGGCTCGGACTGGTGGCGCGGAGAGGGGGAAGGTGGATGGACTAGGGTTGCAAGACTCCGGCCGGCTTAAATAGGCCGATTTGCTCTTGGGCGGCGAGCCGGAACGACGCCACACGGCGTTCACACCGCAGTGACAAAGGAGGCGTCCATCGGACCACTGGGTTTCCGGGAGAGTCCACGTGAGACCCCTTCGTCAGTCCTTCGTGGCGGACGTGCCCGGACGTCCCCATATCCGCCCCAAATTTTGGCTGTATATGAGGGTTACCGGTCATCCTGGGCGTTTGAGGCCCGTTTGAGGGGGCCATTTGGGTCACAAAAACGTTGCCGGTCGGCTCGCCCGGACGTATGAGACGGGTTTGGGGCGCCCGGCTGTAGATGCTCTAACACCGTCATTTTTCCCACAAAAAAATACACCCCCCACGACCACAAAAAAATACACCATCATTTCAAGTTACTTTTCCTTCAAAGAAAATCCAAGTCTTGAAGAAAAATCATTCTTGCTAAATGTGCAGAGTAACTTTGCCAAGTCTTACTCCTCGTTAATTCTATCCTTTTGTCCAGTCCTCGCAAAATAAGAGTAGTCTATTCCTTAATTTCATCTTTTCGCCCTTTGCCACAAAATAAGAATCATCTTTTCACCTGAATGGGAAAGAATATAAGCAAAGAGAAATATTATCATTATCTTTTTGTTGGAGCATAGAAAATTTTATATGTGTCAGTTCCTTACAATGCATAACTACCACTGATTTCTTGAGAAAACAAAAGGTAGTGACCACATGTACTTAGATTAAAACAAGCACGACAGAAAGACTACAAGAAAGAGAGAATCGAATTGACAGTCATGCATGTCATTTCCAAAGATATGGACCAAAGATATCGTTGGAGGCCAAGAAATGAAGAAATATATATAATTTATGTCAGAGAATCTAACAAATGAATAAGTGGTAATATGCTTTGTGCATACCTAGCTAGCTAGTATTGCAATTTGCAAAAGATGACATGAATTCATCGTGCTTGGTGCGCTCGGTCTCTCTGGTCTACTGGTGCTGTTATATGCAAGGTGCTCCACTTTGATCGACTTAGTTCTCAGATTAATTAACGCAATATGACATTTAGAAGAAAAAAAGGCTAGAGATCATCCCTAAATATATATGCATGCCTCGAGTGAAATTTCTCTACTATGATTCAACAACTAAATAATTTTCATTGTAGAGAACAACTAATTAAAAGCTAGATGTTCTGTAAAATGTTTGCCTAAATATTTGCAGTTGATGAGTCCTTGTTAATGCTTGATTTGCATGTTGGTTAAAAAAATGAGGATCAGGCTCCGTGGTCTCCAACAGGCACATTGCCTGATTTTCTTTCATTGAAAAAGATAGAAAAAGAAGCATGGCCTGGGGTGGGAACAAAGGCAATCTTAATTATAATTATCCAAAGTAAGTTAGGGTGTTCCATTTTTGTTTGATCAGCTTGAGATTCCGGCTCATTTTGCGGTTGCTAAACTATGGGTTTTATTTTGTGTGTGGAAAGGATCAAGTATATTATGAAAATTCACCAGAAATACAAAGCATCCCAAACGTAATAAAAATTACATCGAGATTCCGATACCACCGAACAACCACTACTACCGTCAGAAGTAGCCACCGCCGCGCCACTGTCGCCGCTCCTCTACTAAAGCAGGCTCGACCTTGTCAAAACAACCAGGAAGTCTTCGTGCATGTGTTCCTAAGTACCAACGCCTTGGAGCCACAGTCGTCGCGATTGAACTCTTGCATAGAGTTGAAGCACCTGACACCAAATCTTGTCACATGACGAGAATGCTAACCTCACCACCCCAAGAAGAAGGCATGAATCTATGTTGGAGCACCATTGATTACGTCCAAACAGACGAACTCGAGGATGATTGAATTCCGAAAGACAAACTCAAAGAAGAAGCGCCGACATCCGCCCGAGCACAACACCTACGAGGACCAAAAATCCTTAGGCCTCTTTTGGTTCATAGGATAGGATTATCATAGGAATAGGAATTTTGTAGAAAATGAGATGACATGTATCTCAAATCCTATGAGTAGGAATAGGAAACAAGATGTCATTTGGTTGACACCAAAGGAATTTTTCCATTGAGTCTAGGCTCATTTTTATTTTCCTATGAAATGTGGAGGATAGAAACCAATCCTATGTAGGAATAGGAATCTATTCCTATGAACCAAAGGGCTTCAAAGAAAAAAAAATCCTAAAAGAATCATATCCTCTAAAATTCCTATGAAATTCCTCTAAACCAAAGGAGGCCTTAACCTAAACTACTAACTGGAGTGGAGGCACTTGAATTCTCTGCACTATCGGCCGCCAGAGCGTACGTGTTTGGCAGAGGGAAGGCAAATCCACGGGCTTGCCAATGAACTCCGAAGGGAAAAGTTTGCCCTAGCCGCTTAGGGTTAGGGGTGAGAATGAGGGAAGCCCCGTGACTAGTTGGTGGCTAAACTATGTTGTTATAACCGTCTTGTATAATCATAATCTATTATAGGAAATAGCCATGGAAATAAGACGGCGTAGTTAGCCAAATAATAAAATAGAAAATAACTAGTATGACAACTAAGATTATTATAATCACTGCCATAACATTTCGTAGTTGATAGATTGAAAATATTTAAATGGTAATATAATTATACTATTCTCACATAGTGATCTAGATGTTTCAAGTCTATTTGCAATGAAGTTTGAAGAATCTGATTGTGAGGTCGAGGGGTCTATGTGGGGTGTCTTCCCGCACTCCTTTGAGGCAGCCCCAACAACATCTTGGGTTTTGCTCTCCGGCTCGGGCCTTGCTTCAACATTGACGAGGCTAGAGAGGATGTACATGAGTTGAGCCGGCGGCGGTCGCTTCGGGCAGCACCGTCAACGCATGGTTGGCGACTGGATCCTTTATTGCTCTGCAGACGGCTTCTCCTCCGGGTAGACCGAGGCCACAACGACTTCCTGACCACGAACAACAAAGTCAGGCCAACTCCGGCGGTGGAGCGACACCAGTGGCTCATTTGAAAGTAGAAGACGATTGGTACCCCAAGGACCTTGATGCAATTCTTATTTTATTTAGCTTTGCTTTGTAATGCTTGACTTTGGCTAGTGGATCTGGTGGCTTCTTCGCAAAATAAAGTACGTAGAAAAAGAATGAATGTAACCCAAAAATATTTTTCAGAAAAAAGTATTAAATGCATTCATTCTTTATTTCCCCCCCAAAAATAAAAAGAATGAATGTATTAAAAAAATAAAAAGAATGAATGTATTAAAAAATAAAAAGAATGAATGTATTTAATACCTTTTTCTGAAAAATATTTTTTGGTTCAACACACAAAAAAGAGTTATTTCAATGCATGTGTGCCTGAAGAAACAACAACACGTATAGTTGCAACAGGAGACACTGTTCACTTGGTTGAGATCCCAATGGACATTGTATGATGGATGGTGTTGGAGGACATCCCCTAATGGGGAGAAAATCTTGTATACAGGACACACACTAGCCGGTATATTCTCACAGTTTTCATCAACAACGAGTGATCATCTATCTTTTGGCAGAAGCAAGATGAGTGAAGCACTACCTAGCTAGTTGGCTAGTTTCCAAAATGAGCTATAAGCACTGATCAAAGTGCTATGAAACCGCATCAAAACTTTCCCAAAGGGAAAAAAAATATATTGCTAGTATTGCTCCTACTCGTTGCCCAAAGAAATAAAATGTGTGAACGAGAGCAAGCCAGAGAGGGGAAAAAAATCGCCAGAAGGAAATAGAGAAAAGGCTAACATTATCGCCAAAAGAAAAAAGAGAAAAAAGCTATTAGTTAATCACTTACTTTCCTTTGAGACATCAACATACTTGCATTCTCCATCGATCTTTATATAAGGCACTCTCCTGTGACGCTCAAGTCTCAACTCAACCACTGAGAACTTCTCAATCGATCAGGAGTCGACCACTCAGGAGTCAGGACAAGGAGGTAGCCATGGCGACGGATGCAGGGAAGAAGGCGTATGTTGTTGCCATGGTGATCCAGGTGATCTACACCGGCATGTACGTCGTCTCCAAGGCGGCCTTCGATGGCGGCATGAACACCTTCGTCTTCATCTTCTACCGCCAGGCAGCCGCCACTCTCCTCTTGCTACCCCTCGCCATCCTCCTCGAGAGGTAATCAACTGACCATTTACTTACCTACTGCTTGATCAAGTCATGATTAGGAAGCTAAAGATCAGTGGCTATATATGCATAGATGCAATCCAACACCTATTAAAATTAGTTGATCCATCTTAACTAATATGAGTGAGGTCCATGACTGTTAATGATCTTGCAGGAGGAACGCGCCACCCATGTCACTGTGGTTGTTCACCAAGATCTTCATGTACGCTCTACTCGGGTAAGAACACGGCACCATTGACCTCCCTTTGAATTCATCATCTTCATCATCTATATACGTGTGAAAGTAACATGTATTGCACGTACGTTACGTACGTAGGAACACGGTGAGCATGAACCTGCACAACATCAGCCTCAAGTACACCTCGGCGACGGTGGCATCAGCCACGAGCAACTCCATCCCCGTCATCACCTTCCTCTTCGCCGTCCTCCTCCACCTCGAAGCCATCAAGCTCCGCGCCGCTTCGGGCACGGCGAAGCTCGCCGGCGTCGCGCTCTGCGTGGCCGGCATCCTCGTCATCGCCCTCTACGCCGGGCCGCCGCTTAGCCCCCTCAACCACCACCGCGCCTTCCACGCGCACGCCGCCGCCACGGCCGCCGGGAAGCAGGGGGAGTGGATGAAAGGCACGTTCCTGATGCTCCTGGCCAACGTGACGTGGTCCCTCTGGATCGTCCTCCAGGCGCGCCTCCTCAAGGAGTACCCCAACAAGCTGCTGGCCACGGCGCTGCAGTGCCTGCTAAGCACGGTGCAGTCGCTCGCGCTGGCCGCGGCCGTGACCGCTGGCGGCGGGGAGGACATGTCGGCTGCGTGGACGCTGCGGCTGGACGTGGGTCTCGTCGCCGTCGCCTACTCCGGGTTCGTGGTCACGGGGGTGTCCTTCTACCTGCAGGCGTGGTGCATCGAGAGGCGGGGCCCCGTGTTCCTGGCCATGTCTAATCCGGTGGGGCTCGTGCTCACCGTGTTCTGCTCCTCCTTCTTCCTCGGCGAGGTCGTCCACCTCGGCAGCGTCCTCGGTGGGGCGCTCCTGGTCGCCGGGCTGTACAGCGTGCTCTGGGGGAAGAGCAAGGAGCAGCCGGCGCCGCCCCCGCTTAGTGCAGCTCCTGTATCAGCAACCACCATGAAACAAGGATGCGATGGTAGCAATGCTCGCACCGGCGCCATGAACAAGGAAGATGACGACGAGGTGAAACCGGAGGAGGAGAGGAGAACCAAGCTGGATTCACAGGTGTAGCTGGGAAATACGTACTACAGAGTTACAGCAGCCATGCATCCTGCAGGCAGGCAGGTCGGCCACGAGGAGCTGTTTCGTCTGACAGAGACTCTTGAATGTAATGCATAATACAGCACTAGGAAATGCACGAGTAGTACTAGAAACTTTATGAACCATCGTCATCCAAGGGCTGAAACGCAAGTGGCAGAGGATAATTGCTGGTATGTAACGGGAGCGGCTATTTCTAAGATGACATGGGAAATTCATATTTCTAACTGGATGATTCAGCTTTGTTTTTATGCTGCCCACATTGTGCAATTTGATCGACTTATTACAAATAAATAACTTTTGGCGATTTAGAAATTTGCAACTCTGATATGAAAATGTTCAGAACTTTTGGCGATTTAGACACAACTTACGGTAAGAATTAATATATGATTAATTTGATCTGTCTTGGCCGGTTGGCACCTACATGTTCAGTACATGTTGGTCTCTCTTCACATGATTGTCACAAGTTTAAAAGAGGACTTCCAAAGTAAAAAAGGTTTTATTTTAATTCCTCAAAGTATTACTCCCGCTACCTGATTACTCACGATCATATATCACTTTCAACAAAATGGAGCCTTTCATACCCCCACTCATGCTTATCTTATCCCCTAACCATTTTTTTGACTCATTTGATTCCACCACTGAAAAGTTATGGTCTAGTTAAACCCAGGATTTGTGGTGGCCTGGCCGGATTTGTATGATTTTTATTCATATCTTTCGAGGGCACCCCCTCTCTTAACTTTGTCATCCTAGATCGTGGACATTTTTTTCGAGACAAGCACCCTAAAACACGTGCCATCTCAACATTTTACTTATAAAATTGTGCTAATAGCAAGCATCATGAGTGCACTGACCTCTGCATTCTAGATGCCCACAACCATCGTAGTACTTAACAAGGTAAGACGACGAGAGTACCTACTGACCAATAAATGTCGATCGACGCATTACAAGATATGAAAAAAAACACTTTGCGAGTAAGTCATCATCTTCCACAGTAAATGCCTTAAAAGAAGGGAGCACACACTTGCATAGTATTAAAATCAAATGTTTAAGGACTAGATGGGAAGGGTCCTACCAAAAATCCACACCAAATTTTAAGGGTTGGTAGATTTTAAGCAACTTTCTATTAGGTCCTTCAAAGCACTTAACAAACAAGCTAAAATAGTATGGCAGCAAGGAAAGATAACCTACAAGTAAGTAAGAGGTTGAATTGAGAGACTGCAAACATAGGGTCTCAACAATGTTTTTTTTCTTCGTGTTTTGGATAGTTGACGCTATCCCACTTCACGTTGATAAAGATTTCGAACCACAAAGGCACTAAACCACAAAGGTCTTAACTGTGTAGCTCGCAAATGGCACATGAAGAGCAAATCTGGCTATCCCACCATGACTTATCAACCACAAATGTCAAGCCTCGCCCAGGGTTGATCCTGCACAAAGAATGAAAGAAGCGATCACTAGGCCATGTATAAAACTCATAATTCCTTCACAATATGTGGTTGAGAAGGCTATCAACCCCTCCAAGAGTAACACACAATGCACGATCGATTGGATGAACTCCTCAAAAGATCTCTAAACAATTCACTCTCAAGAACCAAGTGGATCTCTCTCACACAAAGGATAGACTTGAGGCGTAAGAAATGAACACTAAAAAGTAGGGTTCAAGAAAGAGAGGATCTTGGCATTCAAAATATCAAAGAAGTATGAGTAGTCCTTCCTTGGACTATGGGGTCATAACAGTAGCAATGTGGCATCTTCTCTCCCCCATTCCTCGGTACAAAGATCACATGAGCTACATAACATTATTGTGATCAATCTGAGTAATATTGGTACTTTTGATGCGGTGTGATGGATTGTTACATTATGACCAGGTTGTATATGGATATTTTATGGTTTTGTTTGCATGATATATAGATGTATGCTCTCTGATCTATTAGTTTAATCACTGGCCAGTTTAGAAGAATGATTTGTAAGAGGGAGTTGTGTGTGTTCGTTGGGTTTAACCTTCAGAAGATAGTACCAAGGTGACAATAAGGGAGACGAACTTGTAAGCGTGTTATTGCCATTAAGAATAAAAACGATAGTTGACTAGTTGCCTCGGTGATAAGCTGGAGGTAAAGATAATATATTATCGCTTTACTTGATGCAATACTCTGTTTTATTACTTACTACATGGATATTCAACTAGCTTCCTCGATGAGAGCGGGAGCCTCAAGGCCTTCCTTGGGGCGGTGATGTCTACTACATAACTTTATTCTTGTAGAATACGTTGGGCCTCCAAGCGCAGAGTTTTGTAGGACAACAACAAATTTCACTCAAGTGGATGACCTAAGATTTAACAGTCCATGGGAGGTGTAGGATGAAGATGGTCTCTCTCAAACAATCCTTCAATCAAATACAAGAAATCTCTTGTGTCCCCACACTGGTACAACGAGGTGCTATACAAACGGGTTTAACCCCTTTCCGCGACGGCGTTCAGAACCGTCGCCAAGTGAGTGGCTGCGATAGGGGGGTCCTTCCCACATGACCCAGAAACAGTCGGGGATAGGGAGCCTCGATGCATATATAGTACTTCCTACTCATTTGTGCTCGCATTGTCATCACAGTCGGTATTCTGTGGTGCTACGTTTACGATGCGCGACCTATAACAAAGAGTTCACGACTATAGAAGTAGAGAATCACACACATTTACTTTTTCTCGACTGTGTGTGATTCGATGTAAGAGCGCACACAGTTGTCGCTACAAAACTGCATGTGAAGCTTGAATACGTCTCACACGATTCATTCGTCGTAACCGTGTCGGATGATCGACCTATCGCACACGTTCTTCTATGACCAAACGTTTGAAATGCGCACAACATCACAAAGAGTCCATAATTGTGAAGAGTGTGTGATGAGGTGACTATCACAAACATTTAATAAGAAAGAATTGTGTGCGATGCTGTTGTTAATCGCACACGTATTTTCTTGGCTGATCATGTGTGTAGTAGAGATTGATCGCACACATAATGGATTCTAGAAACATGTCTGATCTCCACGTCTATCGCAAACGTTTCGCTTTCGCAAACCGTGTGTAGTGTAATCCCTAATTTAAAAATCACATATTTAGAATTTGAAAGTAGGCAATCACTTATTTCATATCCAATCATGTTTATTACAAATATAGGCTCAACCACGAATGCATAATTCGATGCACAAGTACATATACCGAAGAACTACAGAAGCACCAATTAAAGAATGATGAACCACAGTTGTACTAAAGAATGTAAAGAGAGAGGCAAAAGGCATTCTGGTTGCTGGAGAATGTGAAGCGGAATGCCCATATTGTGCCGTTCTCCATGCATAATGCGCGCACTCCTCTAGGCCAACCCCTTGTGACGGCTGCACGTCCATTCTTCACTGTCTTCATTAAGACTTCTTGATGCTCATTGTAGTCTGGATGAAATACTTTAACCTTCATTGCGTGTCCACCAATAATGTACTTTGCGAGATAATCTTGAGTGAACTGCTTCGGGAACCACTACGAACAAAAAAAATTCAGACATTGTTGTCTAACAACTCATTATGGGCAGTAAAAAGAGAAGGCTGCAGAGTTTGTAGTTACCATCCTACAACTCATTATTGTGTTGGATAGAGCGTAAACAAGTAATTTGCTTGCCACCGTTCGTATCATTTTGCTAATAATCCTTATCAGTTTCCTCACTTGATGCTTGTTCATCAATATCTCATTGCCCCATATGCAAAAAGGATTGATGCGTGGATCCTTGCCAAGGGCATATGTACCTACAAGCAACAAGTCAATATTATAAGCTAACAAGTGTCCAGACCTGGATCTATATGCACTACATTATGGAATAGCGGGGGAAGTACAAGTCGAGGGATGAAACTAACATCGGCGGAAAATGGTGGCCACTCCCGTTGTTATTGTGCATAAGTAGTGGAAAGGCATGATACATCAACCTTAACATCAAACAAATATAGCAAAGGTAAACAACATCATCTCCAAATGATAGCTTGAATGTGTTGGTTTCAACATGCTGTTAAAGCAGATATAAAATGGAAGGCAATGTTACCGACAACAGGCTTAACAACCATCAAATATTGCAATTCAAACTGGTATTGTTGAAAATGAATAGAACACAGGTAGTGCTTAAACATCACACTGGATAAACTGGGCATATGCTTGAAAACTGAAATAAAGGGCACGTGTTAACTACACCAGGAATAACTGGAACCAAATATAGCCGTTCAAACTGGTATTGATGCAATCGAGTGGCACAGTTCCGACTTGCACATAATGAACATCACATTGTGAATGACTGAAATAAAAAGGGCATAAATGATCAGTATAACAACCAAATATAGCCATTGAAAATTGGACAGAGTCTCACTGCAACCAATCTAACAAGCAAATACAGATAAACTGGGCATATGCTTGAAAACTGGACAAATGCTCACTGCAAGCAACGTAACAAGAAAATACAGATAAACAAGGCATCTGCTTGAAAACTGGACAAATGCTCATTGCAACCAACCTAACAACCAAATACAGATAAACAAGGCATCTGCTTGATAACTGGATAAATGCCCACTGCAACCAACCTAAGAACCAAATACATATAAACAAGACATCTGCTTGATAACTGGAAAAATGCTCATTGCAACCAACCTAACAACCAAATACAGATAAACAAGACATCTACTCACTATAAACAACCAAATATAGCCATTCGTGAAACTGAAGTGGATAGTTCATACTTAAACATCACATAGCCCTATTGAACAATATATTTTTGCATAACTGAAATAATTAAACGCGTCATAGTTAAAGCACCGCACGACAAATGCTACTACAACAAAGGGTACGGGTTGGTAAGCTAGAAAAGGTAAGATTTGCTGATAGGATGTTGCCTCACATGTCATGGACGGGATCCTTCCAGTTGGAAGAGCACAGACCCATGGTGCGCTCTCTG